TATATATATATATATATATGTGTGTGTGTGTCCAAATTGGGAAGCCTAAGGCTACATTAAAGGTTCAGGGATGTTTCCACCAGGATAAGTTAAAATATACTCAGGCATAGCATAGAATAAGGTCCTTCTTAAGAAGGACCTGTTAGTATTTTTGTTTTTTATTTTTCAAGATGGTGTTTCTCTGTGTAACCCTGGCTGTCCTGAATCTCACTCTGTAGACCAGGCTGGCCTTGAACTCAGAGGTCTGCATGCCTTTGCCTCCAGAGTGCTGGGACTAAAGGCGAGTGCTACCACATCTGGCTGTCTGTTGGTGTTTTTAATGCTTCTCTCTTTTTCCTATTAATCTAGCAAAATTGTGTCAAAATACTCTGGAAATACTCCAGACTTCTCACTTAAGTTTCGCGCTTTGTAAAGTGTTTAGAATTAGGTGTTGTGGGTATTCTGGAAATGAATTATTGAAGTGAAATAGGCAATGTATGTTAGTGTTCCAGACACCATCACTGCTATTCATCTACTAATGACTTCGATTGTTCTTTTGTCCTTCAGTTGAAGAGGAACTGTCATTGTGTGATTGGCATCTAACAGTTATTTTTCTCTTAATTTCCTCAAGGAGAACATCATTTGTACCAGAGTTTTGCTACCACCTTTTTCAAAGTGATCTTCACTTACTTTTTATGTAATAACTGCCTGGACTTCATATTTTTCACTACAGAAGCCTATGATCTACAATTGCCAGAAACTTAAACACATTACCTTAGGGTATTGTCTACATTAAACCCCAGAGCTCTTTCTCTGCTTGCACTAAAATGTTGAGATACTGGGGAGAGATACCAATCCCATCAGGACAGACCAACAGAAGTTCCTTTGATCTGCTCCCACGAGAGTTCCGCCTGGTGGAAGTCCATGACCCACCCCTGCACCAACCCTCAGCCAACAAGCCCAAACCCCCCACTATGCTGGACATCCCCTCAGAGCCCTGCAGCCTCACCATCCACACCATTCAGCTGATCCAGCACAACCGACGTCTCCGCAACCTTATTGCCACAGCTCAGACCCAGAGTCAGCAACAGAGAGAAGGTGTGAAGGCTGAAGAGAGTGAGCCTCTTCCCTCCTGCCCCGGGTCACCTCCTCTCCCTGATGACCTCCAGCCTTTAGATTGTAAAAATCCCAATGCACCATTCCAGGTCCGGCACAGTGACCCAGAGAGTGACTTTTACCGGTAAGACAAAGCCTTGCTATGTTTTTCTTAAGTGTCGCGTGTATCCCGTGTGTTCCATCCCATGTTTGTCTTCCCTGTGCCCTCCCCCCCAACCCCACCCCATGATCCTGTTAAGCTTATAGGAGCTTTTCCATTTCTACACGAAGAAACTGAGGATGTGAGTGATTGACTTGCTAACATTAGTGGAATATCTCAAGTGTAGAATTTGTACTTTTTAATTTTTCTAATATAGTAAGCATTTATTGAATGCCTATTAGTGCCAGACATTTACTAGGCATGAAATAATACACTGATACATAAAAGGTAAAAAGTGGGCTGGGGATATTGTTCAGTGGTAGAGCAGTGACCTAGCAATAAAGAAGAAAAAAAAAAAAAAAAAAGCCTGTGATAGTCAGCACCACATTACCACATGCACATTTTTTGAGTGTAATATAGTTTCATTCAACACAATATTGTTGTTCATCATATTAAATACATGGTATTACTATAGTCTTACAGTTTTTCTTGTCAAGTTTCTATTTTAATTGTTTTTTTCTTTCTTTTTTTCAAGACAGGGTTTCTCTGTGGGTTTGGAGGCTGTCCTGGAACTAGCTCTTGTAGACCAGGCTGGTCTCAAACTCACAGAGATCCACCTGCCTCTTCCTCCCGAGTGCTGGGATTAAAGGTGTGCACCACCAACGCCCAGCTCTATTTTAATTGTTTAATAGTGATCATACCTAGGGGCTGGAGCAATAGCTTAGTCAGTAAGGTGGTTGATGAGACTCTGTGGCATGTAAAAAAGCCAGGCATTTATAATCGCAGCACTGGGAAGACAGAGACAAACATCCCTGAGACTCTAGCCAATAGCAAACCCACTTGGTGAGCTCCAGGCCAAGGAGAGACCCTGCCTTAAAATACAAGGCAGTAAGGCTGGGTGGTGGTGGCGCATGTCTTTAATCCCAGCACTCAGGAGGCAGAGGCAGACAGATCTTTCTGAGTTCAAGGCCAGCCTGGTCTACAGAGTGAGTGCCAGGACAGCAAGGACTGTTAGACAGAGAAACCCTGTCTCAAAAAAACAAAAACAAAAAAAAGGGAAAAAGAAATGTTCAGAGGAGTTGGAGAGATGACACAGTGGGTAAGAACACTGTTGCTCTCAAGAGAGGAACTGGGTTCTATTCCCAGCACCTACATGGTGGCTCACAGCTGTGTAACTTCAGCTCCCAGGAATCTGCCATCTTAATTATTCTCCTGTACTGTTTACTTGAGACATGCATCGCCTCTTCAGACTGTGTAACTGGGGGAAGGGGTTCAGGAATATGACTTTGGGTGCTGACACATGCCCTGAGAAGAGCAGGATGAAGCTGGCTGTTGCTCTGCAAAGTTGGGCCAGGGATTACTGGAATTGTAAAACTACTAGTCAGACAGGTCACCCCTTGGCAAGTGAACAAATAACACTATCGTGTCTCCATTTGCAGTGGAAAAGGAGAACCAGTGACTGAACTCAGTTGGCACTCCTGTCGGCAGCTCCTCTACCAAGCAGTGGCCACAATCCTGGCCCATGCAGGCTTCGAGTGTGCTAATGAAAGTGTCCTGGAGACCCTAACTGACGTAGCTCATGAGTACTGCCTTAAGTTCACCAAGTTGCTGCGCTTTGCCGTAGACCGGGAGGCCATGCTGGGACAGACTCCTTTCCCTGATGTCATGGAGCAGGTGTTCCATGAAGTGGGCATTGGCAGCATGCTCTCCCTCCAGAAATTCTGGCAGCACCGCATCAAGGACTATCACACTTACATGCTGCAGGTGAGGTGACCTGGGAGAAGTGGGCAAAGATGCCAGTCTGGGAGTATTCAGCAGAATCTACATGTCCTGGAGCTCAGCGCACAGGGACCTGGAGCTGAGTGGATTTAATCCACTTTTCTCATGACCTGTTGTTTCTCTGCCCTCACACTGGTCCAGTGAGATGCTTAGTGGTGCCGGGGATGCCTGGCCTTGCACACCCTAAGCGTGCTCTCCCACTGCTCTGCACGCCCAGCCCTAGCAGTAGAAGTTTGAAAATTCATGTTTCAGGCTGGCTCAGTTAGTAAAGTGTTTGCTTCAAAAGTGTGAGGGCCTGATTCAGATCCCCAGAGCCAGTGAAAAAGCCAGGTGTGGTGGCGCACACCTGAAGTCCCAGCAATGGTGAGATGGAAGGCAGAGACAGGGGGATTCCTGGAGTTCACTTTCTCAAACACAAAGTGGGAGCATCTGAGGAAAGACAACTATGGTGAATATTTGACCTCCATACACATGCAGTCAG